ACCTGTTACATTTTTTACTAGAGCATTACATTTTTCTCTGAAATGGTCTTTGTACTCTTTGTTAATTATTAGGTACTTTGCTAATGTGAATTTTATCTTTTTGTTCCCTATTAAATTTTCTAGTTGGTTATTTCTGCTTTGAAAAACTTCTTTTTGTAAGTTGATCTTCTGTCTGGTAACTTTGCTGAACTCTCCTTCTTAGTTTTTGATGTGCTTTATACCAATTTATGACCATGTGTACCCATCATTTAGTTTCCAGTTATTAATAAGAACATGTGGTATTTGTTTTTCCATTGCTGAGGTACTTCACTAAAGATAATGTTCTCTAGTTCCATCCAAGTTACTGCAAATGACGTTATTTCATTCCTTTTTATAACCAAGTAGGACTCCATGATGTACATATACCACATTTTCTTTACTAAGGGATGGGCACCTAAGTTGATTACACATGTTTGCAATTGGGAATTGTACTGTAATAAACATTCAGGTACAGGCATCTTTTTGTTATAATGACTTCTTTTCCTTCGGGTAGATTCTCAGTTTTGGGAATGCTGGATCTAATGGTAGGTTTACATTTAGTTTTTTAATTACTGGTTTCCACAGAGTTTGTACTAGTTTACAGTGTCCCCAGCAATGTGTAAGTGTTCCTTTTTCACCACATCCACATCAACATCTATTGCTTTTTGATTATTTAATAATGGCCATTCTGATAGGGGTAAGGGAGTAACCTCATTGTGGTTTTAATTTACATTCCCCTGATGATGTGTGATGTTGGCATTTTTTCATTTATTTGTTGGACATTTATAGATCTTCTTTTGAAAAAACTCTGTTCGTGTCTTTTGCCCACTTTTCAATGGGGTTATTTATCTTTTTCTTGCTTATTTGAATTCTGTGTAGATTCTGAACATAAGCCTTTGGTTGGATATCTAGTTTGCAGATATCTTCTTCCATTCTGTAGGTTGTCTATTTACTTTCTCTTTCTTTATTTTTTCTGTGTGGAAACTTTTTAATTTAATTAAATCTCTTTCATTTATTTTTGTTGTTGCTGTATTTGCCTTTAGGATTTAGTCATAACGTCTTTGCCTTGACAGATGTCTTCAAGAGTTTTTCCCATGGTTTCTTCCATAATTTTTATGGTTTCAGCTCTTACATTTAGGTCTTTAATCCATCTTGAGTCAAGTTTATAAAATTAATAGACCACTGGCTACATCAAACAGAAATGGAAATAAAAGAGAAAGGACTCAAATAAGCACAAATAAGAAATGAAAAAAAGACATTCCAACTGATACCACAGAAATACAAAATATTATCATGGCTACTACAAAAACTTCCACACAAAGAAAGTAGAAAACCTAGAGGAAATGGATAAATTCTTGGAAACACACAACCTCCCAAGCCTGAATCAGGAATAAATAGAAATCCTGAATACACAAATAACAAGTAGTGAGATTGAAGCAGTAATAAAAAATATTTCCAACTAAAAAGCCCTGGCCCAGACAGATTCGTAGCTGAATTCTGCCAGACCTACCAAGAAAAACTGACATCTGTTCTACTGAAACTATCCGTAACATTAATTAAGGAGGAGACCCTCCCCACTTCATTCTATGCAGCCAGTATCACGGTGATACCGAAGTGAGGAAAGGACACAATAAAGATGGAAAACTATAGAGCAATATCCCTTGTGAACATAGATGCAGAAATCCTCAACAAAATACTAGCAAACTGAATTCAGCAGCACATCAAAAAGATAATCCACTGTGATCAATTGGGATTCATCCCAGGGATGCAAAGAGGGTTCAGCGTAGCAAATCAATAAATGTGATTCACTACATAAACAGAAGTAAAAACAAAGGCCGTATGATCATGTCAATAGTTGAAGAAAAAAGCATTAAATAAAATCTAGCACGCCTTCATGACAAAATTTTCAACATACTAGACATAGAAGGACATACTTCAAAATAATAAAAGTCATATGTAACAAGCAGCCAGCATCATTCTGAATCAGAGACGTTGAAAGCATTTACTGAAAGAACTGGAACAAGAAGACCAGGACCATCTACTTTCATCACTTCTATTGAACACGGAACTGGAAGTCTTAGCCAAAGCAATCAGACAAGAGAAAGAATTAAAGGGCTTCCAAACCAGCAAAGAGGAGGTCAAACTATCTTTGTTCACCAGCGATCTGACCTTACATCTAGAAAATTCTACAGACCTCTCCAGAAGACTCCTAGAATTGATCAATGAATTAATCTAAGTCTCAGGTTACATATTCAGTGTACCAAAAATCAGTAACATTTCTATGTGTTAATAACAGTCTAGCTGAGAATCAAATCAATAACTCAATTTTATTTACAATAGCTATAAAAGAAATGAAATACCTAGAAATGAAAGATAGCTATAAAAGAAATGAAATACCTAGGAATATTCTTAACCAAGGAAATGAATGACATCTTCAAGAAGAACTTCAAAACACTGAGAAAAGAAATCACAGATGATAGAAAGAAATGGAGAAACATCTCATGCTCATAGACTGGAATAATTAACATTGTTGAAATGTCCACATTGGTCAAAATGATTTATAGATCCAACACAATTCCCATCAAAATACCAATGTCATTTTTCAAAGATCTAGAATAATTCTAAACTTCATATGGAACCCCAAAAGCCTGAATAACCAAAGCAAAAAGAAATCAAATCTGGAGGCATCACATTACATGATGTCAAATTGTACTATAAGGGGATAGTAACCTAAACAGCATGATATTGGTATAAAAGTAGACACACAGACTAATGGAAAGAGTGGAGAAGCCATTAGTCAAATCATGTATCTACTGCCAGCTGATTTTTGACAGAGCAGACAACAACATACACTGAGGAAGGCACATCCTATTCAACAAATGGTCCTGGGGAAATTGGATAGCCATATATAGAAGAGTAAAAGAAGATTCCTATATCTCACTATATTTCTTTTGAGTTCTCACATTAAAAAATTTTTAAATTTACATTCTATCTAGAATCTGTCGTACTATTTTTAATAGTAACAGAGATAGCAATCATTGTTTCTTATTCATGATATTAAAGAAAATGATTCTAAAATTTCTCTACTAATATGTTTGCTACAAGTTGTTTTTATAGTTACAGATTTCTCCATTCTGTTTTTGTTGACATTTCTGGAGATTTAGTTATTTTCTTAATCTGGTTTTGAACTCCTGACCTCAAACAATCCTCCTGCCTTGACCTCCCAAAGTGCTAGAATTATAGGCCTGAGCCACCATTCCCAGCCTAACCATTACTTTCCTGTCTCTCCTAAGGATCTTCCTTTCTTTTTCTGTATTCTAAGTTCAGCTGTTTTTTTTTTCTTGACCTCTTTATTTGATACTTTTTTGACACTAAGGCACTTTCGTCCCAGGTTGAATTCCCAAATATAGGCTGATGAGTGACTCCAAATCTTATGTCTCTAAACTACACCTTCCTTTTGTAATGCAAGTATTTATTGGACATCACTATCCCCTGACACACACAAATACAACCTCTACAAACTACTCATTTTCTGCTCCGCAGACCTTCTTTTCTTTTTTCACTGAATGGCACTCTCACCTTCCTAGTTGCTCAAACCAGAAACCTGGACATTATTCTTGGGGCTTGTACTTTCCTTTGCCCATCTCCTATGGTTACATACAACCTTGCAGTTCTTTGAGTGTATTATGTCTTTGAATGCAGATTCCTTTGCTTAGAATATTCCCTTTGTTACTCCTGCTTCTACAGGGAGATCGTATAGTGTGATACACAAGAAGATAGCCTCTGAGGTCAGAATATGCAGTCAGATTGAGGTTTTGCTGCTTCTAAGTTACTCCATGTGAAAGCATCCCCTAACTGTTCAATTAGTCTCTCTTTCATAAAAAATAAAACTTATACTCCACGAAGTACCTCTATACTCTCTTCTTAAGAAATCTGTATTATAATTCCTTACTTCTTTTTCTGTTGCTATATTACCCTGTAAGTTCCAGGAGGGCAGAAATTTACTTTTGCATTATTATATTGTTAATATATAGCAATGGGTCTGGCATGTTAATTTATTAACTCAGCAAATATTGAGCACCCTTATGTTCATGGACCAAGGTTGTAGGTTTACAGTAGTAAACCAGGGAGACTAGGTTGCTGCCCTCACAGGCATACTTTTTGGCAGAGTAATTGAGCAATAAATAGAAATGAACTAATTAATAAAGATTGTGCCAAATATTAGGGATGAAGCCATGTAGAGAGCTGAGGAAAAATGTTCTAGGGAGAGGGAAATGAAGTACAGTGGGTCAGAGGTGGAAAGGTGCTTGGGACGGCTCAGTGCCTGTGGCTCAAGTGGCTAAGGCACCAGCCACATACACCTAAGGTGGCGGGTTTGAATCCAGCCCGGGCTGCCAAAACAACAATGATGGCTGCAACCAAAAAATAGCCAGGCTCTGTGGCGGGCGCCTGTGGTCCCAGCTACTTGGGAGGCTGAGGCAGGAGACTCGCTTGAGCCCAGGAGTTGGAAGTTGCTGTGAGCTGTGATGCCATAGCCCTCTACCCATGGAGACAGCTTAAGGCTCTGTCTCAAAAAAAAAAAAAAAAAAAAAAGAAAAGTGCTTGGAAAGGGGGGCACAAACTGAATGAATAAATGAAGTTGGGAAAACTAAGAAGCAGAGAGGGGACTTGTCCACCTTGATTAACGAATAGTGGAACCAGGTCCTTAGAGTCCAGTCTGGCACTCTTTCAGTGAACCACATTGCCCCAACATTTGGAAAAAATGGTTAGCCTAGCGAAAGCATGCATGATTACTGAAAATAAAGTGAAATGCAAAGATTGTTAAAAAATAAAATTGACATTTGAAGAAAGTCAATGCAAATAATAAAGAAATTCATCAAAGCTTGTACGATGCTACTCTTAAATTTTGTAAAAAGTTATCTTTTTAATGTATCAAGTGTTTACACTTTTATTGTTTAATTCTTTTTCCCTCAATTTATCAGATGATTGACATCGGAGAAAGTATATCTATTCCAGATGAGTTTACCGAACATGAAAAACAGTCTGGACGGTGGTGGAAACGTTTGGTGTCAGCAGGAATAGCTAGTGCAGTGGCACGGACATGCACGGCACCTTTTGACCGTTTGAAAGTCATGATGCAGGTAGTTTTCATGCTTCACCTCCTTAAGAATTAAAGTCATTTGAAAAGTCCTTGACAGTTTTCAAATTTTTAAAAAAATGTTTTGGTACATTTTATACTACTTCTCCTTAAAATTTTATATTTCTCTCTCTCTCTCCTTTTATGAGGCAGAGTCTCACTTAGTTGCCCTGGATAGAGTGACGTGGCACCACAGCTCACAGCAACCTCAAACATTACTTGGACATTAATTTTTAATTCAACTTGTTAATATGTTGTTTAGAATATTGCATCCTTATTTATAAGTTAAATATGTTTGTAATTTCCCTTTATAATATATTTTTTTCCAATTTTAATATCAGGTATATCCAGATGAAGTAGAATGATTTTGAAATATTTCTTCTTTTTCTGTTGTCTCTAAGATTTGGCATGATCTGTTTTTTGAAATTATCTTCTATTTTTATTTATAAATATTAGTTGTCTATTTTTTGAGACCTTGGGAAAAAAATAATTAGAAGTTAACTGATGACTCCATACTGAACCTCAGAGTCAAAGCATAGAATATCATATGTTCTATGATAGACACAACTCTTATCTGACAATGTGAAAGTTACTTTTTTTGCATTATTATTATTATTGCTTAATATTTCATTACAGCAATTGTCTGATTTCTTTTCTGAATGTATTTATCTTTGTTCATTCTGTATGAGGTTTTTGTTTCTAGTCCTTATCTTAAACATTGTTATCGTTATTAAATTTTAAGCCTTTTTAATTTTGTGAAGGCAAAAAGCAGAAACCAAATAAACACATGTATATGTATAGAGAAAAAAAAGTTGAGGAAAATGGGAAAACAGACAAGCATACAGGAAGACATTAAAATGACCTATAATCTGTGTTTATTAGTTTGCTAGGGATGCTGTTATGAAGTACCACAAACTGGCTGAAATAAAAGAAATTTCTTGTCTCATAGTCTGTAGGCTGGAAGTCCAAATTCAAAGTGCTGGCAGGGTTGGCTCCTTCTGAGGGTTGTAAGAAAGAATCTGTTCCAGGTCTCTCCTTAACTTGTAGATAGCCATGTTTTCTCCTTGTCTGTTCAAATTGTCTTTCCTCTGTGTGTGCTGTGTCTCTGTCCAAATTTCCCCTTTTTATAAGGCTTGCAGTCGGATTAGGGTCCACCTTAATGACCTCATTTTAATTTGATTACTTCTGAAAAGACCCTGTCTCCAAACCAGGTCACGTTCTGAAGGAATGAGGGTTAGGACTTCAATGTACAAATTTTGAAGGACATATTTCAACCCCCAACACCTTGCTACTAGTGGTATCCAGTGCTGAAAGTTTGGTGTATTTTCATTTATCCTTTTTCCAGTGCATATTTTAATGTACTCTTTAATAGTCTTGTAATATTTTGATAGCATCAACATGTCTTATACTGAAATTCTCTGGTTATTTAGTTGTTTCTGTTCTTCTTACGTTAGTCTTTTTTATTTGATGTGTTAGATTCATTAAAATATGTATTTGGAGACAAGAAAAAATTAATATATCAATTTTGTCTCTGAAGGAAAACTTTTAAAATCATGCATTTTTATATATGTGTTTATTTTATTAGCAATAGCAACACCCATACCATAATACCTATAAAATGAATACAATAAATACATCTGCTATTCATTTTTAGGTTCATAGTTCACAGACAACGAGAATGAGATTGATTAGTGGGTTTGAGCAAATGATAAAAGAAGGAGGAATTTTTTCTCTTTGGCGAGGAAATGGTGTAAATATTTTTAAAATTGCACCAGAGACGGCACTCAAGGTCGGGGCATATGAACAGGTAAAATAATATTATCTGTGAAATTTTAAACAGGAATCAGATTTTAAATTCAATGTAAAAATATTTAGATTTCCATGAAAGAGAAAACTGGAATGTGCCCAATTAAAAGTTGTCAATATATATTAGTCACTTTATTCTCATTTAATTGTTTTTGTGTTTTCATATTGCTATTGTTTACAAGAGACATTCTGTGAATCACGTTGTATCATCACAACTGTTATCTATAGTTATTCTTTCAGTTTCATTGTCACAGTTGGGAAGTCCCCACAAAACATTTCATCATTGGGTTATCTTTTGAACAATTTGAATGTTGAGATTTCAGGTCATTTGTCAATGACTACAAGATCAATTTCTTATTTTAGTCAAATGATGAACAGACTAAAGATATGCACTGAATTTTAAAATTTACTAATCTGATTTAGGATTTTACTTTTGCTTAGACAATTCACTTTGAGATGAGATATTGTCTCTTTTCAAATATTATAAGTTCTAGAGTGCTCTGTGTGCTTCTCAAGTTTTCCATCTTTGTTCCAAATCTTGGAATAATTCCCTTTTCTTTAAACATTTTTATAGCATATACCATTAAGGTGTTTATTTGGTAGGATCTTGTTCATAAAGTTATAGGACTTCAAAAGTATAAGAAAATATAGAAGATTGATAATATCCTTTCTCAACTCAAACATGTGAAAAACTATATAACTTAAAAGGATACTAGACTTAGTTATGATGCACATCTTAAAAGCATACATCTCTTTCTTAAATGGGGATCAGCTTACTCATTCAAGTATTTCTTTTAGCAACAAATGTTTCTTGAGCACCTAATGTGTTCCAAGCCCCTTTCTACATGATAATGTTTCAGCAAATAAAACAGGGGAAAAACCTCAACTAAACAGAAACAACCTCCCACCCCCACCAGCTGCTTCTCGTGAAATTCATATTAGAACGTAGGTGGGAGGAGACAGTGACCAAACAAGTAATTAGCGTATATTGTACATTAGGCTGTGATAATGGCCCTGGGGAAAATAGAGGATGGAACCTGGACATGGAAATTTATGACTCTTTCAGGGAGTTTTACTGTGAAGAGGAGAAGGAAGATGCAGTGGTGACTGGAAAGGGTGGGGCCAGGAGGATGTTTTTCTAGAAATGGACGAGGAAATGCTTGGACATTTAGGGAGTGATCCAATAGAGAAGGAATCACTAAGACAGGAAAGAAAGGGGAGTTTTAGTAGGGAATTGTCCTTGACTGTTTGGGTGAGTGAGAGGAGATGAGAACTAGTGCTCATGGAAGGATTTGGCTTTGGCGAGACATTTCACACACAGTTACAGGAGAAGTGCTACTCAATGAACAGGTGCAGCAGTCCTTCCTAGTGCTTCAGCTCCCCCAGTGAAATGGGAGGCAAGGGCACATGGGAGGTTTTGGGGAAAGAGAAGAAGGTATGAAATCGTCTTCTAGGTGAGTGGAAAAGCATGGATGGAGGAAATGAAATAAGATTGTTGGCAGCAAGGGTCAATTGAAGTTAGTAGTTATGAGTTTAAAGTGATGGCAGGTAGCAGGTATATCTATAATAATCTTCTTTTCAATAGTTGAATTTTGGCAGTTCTGTGCATTCACATACTTACTGTGTGCCTACCATGTGCTAGGTCTCATGCTGAGAGTGGGGATACTGTTTCTGCCCTTCTAGACTTTATATTCTACCAAAACTAAAGATCAAGTTTAGTTCAAGGTGTAGTTATCTAAATGAAAATATCAGTTCAGGTGACAAAAATACTATGTCTCAAAGGTATAAAGGAAGGATAGCAATTGGTGTATTCATGATTGTTACCAGGAATATATGTAGTGTTTTTGTGAGATCAGGCACAGATAGAAAGAAATGACTTGGGCTCTAAATTATCAATATGCCGTACTCACTCCTTACGGTGACATACAGACGGCATAAAGGACAGTCTAGGCAAATGTGCTGTTTATTACTAACTAGAACTTTGGCTTCAAATTTCTTTCTAGTCCGCAGCCCTGATGAGTTGGAGTGGGTCACAAATAAACAGCAGAGGACATCTTTTTCCCTGTTTAGTGTAAGACTTGACAAGAGATAGTCTTAAATCTCTTCTTGCTTCTGCTCCAGTAGGCTCCACCCTGGTTCCTGTTAGCCTTTCCAAGGGCACACCACCTCTGTGGAAAAAAGGCAACGAAGGGCATGCCACACAGGATGTGGAAAGCAAAAGTTGTTCTAGGGGCGGCGCCTGTGACTCAAATGAGTAGGGCGCTGGCCCCATATACTGGAGGTGGCAGGTTCAAAACCGGCCCCAGCCAAACAAAACAAAACAAAAAAAAAGTTGTTCTGCTCATTTTTATTTATGATCTCACTTGTTTTCTCACCAATTCAAAGCCCGACCTTCTTTTCTTAACTGTTTTCTTGAGGACTCAATCTTTTTCCATAACCCATAGCAGAGCATCTTATCATAGGAACGGTGTTGTATGGAGTGAGGCAAAATGAGTTATTATAATTTACTTCTTAACCCTCTATAAAATCCCAGCATTCAAACCTTCCATAGTTTATGCCTGTTGAACATGTCTGGTGCTTCTGCTGCTTGACAATGCACTGCTTCAATTGAGAGAATTTTACTACACGTCAATAAGTTACACTTTTCCTGTCTTCCTGATACTGCTTATATTTTCTCTGTCATTGGGTTACCCCTTTCTCCTTCTCACATACCCAGATTCTTTCAAGAACCCAAGTCTTTGCCTTTCCTGATAGGAATCCTACTTTGGTATCTCCTTTTCCTATCAAAGTGTATTTAATGCTTTTACCATTTATATAAGCTAGAATTAGGTTCAGATATGTGGCAGAAACCCCCAAACTATAGTTATTTAAATGAGATATAAGTTTACTTCTTTCTCACAAAGGGAAGTCTGAAGATAGACCATTTAGGATGGGTATGGAAGTGCTTGAAAGTGAAAAGAAACTGCCTTGCTCCAAGTTCACAGTCTATCATCTTGTAGGGCGTGATCCTTTTCTTCTTGAGTTAGAGATGGAACTCCAGCAATGTCATCTAAGTTCCAGGCAGCAACCAGGGGAAGAACCAAAGGAGGACATATCCCCTTTTACGCAGGACACTTTCCCAAAGTGACTTCCTCAAACTTAAATGAAGTAACTTTATTACTCAGTAGACAGGAAGGGTCAACAGTTGTCTAAGAGTCATGGGGATCCAGTCTTCCAGATCTCAGGAAAGTTATCCTGGGTGGATGTGTCCCACATCACACTGCAGCCGGGGGATTCTGAAAGGCGTTCATCTCTGGGGGCAGCTTGGCACGCCGGCCTAAAACATCGCAGGACGTCCTGTTTTAGGATGGTTGGGGAGTCCAGCCCAGTCTGTTCTGGCCAGCTTTTCCTTATATCAGGATATTGCATTTCTGGCACAGTCTGCAGTTACTCCTGAGAACTGCAAGAGAGAAAGGAAAGAGACTGTTTTGCCAAGGTCATCCAGGGACTTGTCTTGTGAGCATCAGTTTCTGGGGAAACCTACATCAGCCACCAGGAAATGGTTCAGTTCCAGATTTTATTGTTCCCCACTTTCATGTGCTTCACAGATATTGTATTTTATACAAAGTGAAGGTTTGTTGAAACTCTGCTTTAAGCAAGTCTCTTGGCTCCATATTTCCAGAACCACATGCTCACTTCATGTCTCTGTGCCACATTTTGGTAATTCTGGCAGTATTTCAAACTTTATTATTATTTTATCTGTTGTGGGTTTGTGATTAGTGATCTTTGATGTTTCTGTTGTGAACATCTGATTTTTTTCAGATAGCCAAACTCTTTAGTACAATCTTATTTCCTCATATTGGGGTACAGAAACAGGTGGTTCTACTGAATCTGAAGTTACACATTTCATGATTTTCAAACCAAGCAAAGAAAACCCTGTTAGCAGAGGAATTTTCCCTTCTACTTCTTGAAAACTGGCTTTGGAGAAGACCATGAGGCAAAAAGTTAAGAGATGTTTTAGTGCACGTCTCCTAGATCTTTTTCTAAACAGTAAAAAGAGGAGGCAACACTGACTGACATTCCAACAGTCAGAGATTTTGCAACCAGTTTTCTCTTAGAACTTTAGGCTCAAAAAGCACCTGGTCTACCTTCTAGGTTATCACAGGAAGCATTTCTATTAAGCATTTAAACAGAGCATTAAAAGGTCGTCGTCTTCTTACTCTGTAATATCTGTGTCCTGATAATAAAACCGGGTTTTATTATGGCATCACCCTACACCTAGGAACCCGTTTTTATATTTGTTAGGGCTCATTATAAGCTATTGTGACAAAAAGAGTCCAAAGTACAGGAGCTTAAATAAAATAGAAGGAAGTCAGACCAGGCTTAACAGTATAGCTCTACCATCTTCAAACGTGGTTTCACAGGTTCTATCTGTTTCGGTCATTTCTCAGGTGGAAGAAACATAAACATTTTTAAGGTAGTGTGTCAGAATTTTTATGCCCAACTCTCCCTCGTATCTTATTGGCCAAAATTGGTCACTTAGCCATGCAGCCTATCTGCAAGGGAGAGATGGAAATGTAGTGTATGGCTACATCGGTCCTCTTACTAAAAGGAAGAAGAGAATGGCCAGTGGGAACAGACAGCCATCTCTGCCGTATTAGCCAGAGCAGTCACACTTTCTGATGGTGAGTTACTGATCTGAGAACCAGACAGTTAGCTCATAGAGAGTCGCCAGATCACACCGATGATAGACTACTAGAAAAGGTAAACAGGAAATCATCCTGCTTGTTAGAATTATCTTGATTTTCCATCTTGACCTCCATGAAACTTGACTTCCCTTTACTTCCCGTGAAACCTGACCTTTAGGCTTAGATTTACATTTTCCTTTTTGTCCACATGTGTTCTTGGAATAACCTGCCTATTACTTGAACTAATCAGAGTGAACCGTTCCTTGTTTAAAAAAATGAGCCTCTCACCTTAAGTGACTGTTCTTGATTATCCAGTAATTAAACAATATTAAGTATCTTCCACACATAGTAAATAGTGCTAAAAAGAGATAAAAGATACCGTCTTTGTCCCCTGTGTGTCGTTTGTACACCCCTTATGAAATGACCCATTCATAAATAAATGCTTAAGTGACTTAATGTTGCTAACTTATTCTTCAGGAAAAAAAGGAAAAAGGAAACTAACTAGAGGGGCTTTACTTACTGGATAACTAATTGCATAAAAATTAAAATCAGGGGCCTGTGGCTCAAAAGGGTAGGGCTTGGTCCCATATGCTGGAGGTGGCAGGTTTAAACCCAGCCCTGGCCAAAAACTGCAAAAAAAATAAAAAATAAAAAATAAAAAAATAAATAAAAATCAGGTATTCTATGTCATGGACATCTAATACACTTTTAAACACAAGTTTTAATTGCTTCTCAGCCTTTTGGCTAAGATCAAGTGTAAACATAAGTTTATACTACTAATTACTGTTATAAACTTAGAAAAATATATATCCTATTTCAGTAATATTATACTTTTAATACTTTTATTTATACAGTATAAGAAATGGCTTAGTTTTGATGGTTCTCAACCAGGAATTTCTGAAAGATTTATATCTGGGTCATTGGCTGGTGTAACTGCCCAGACCTGTATTTACCCCATGGAGGTATGTATTATTATAATTATTATAACATTTTAATTAAAGTCATGCTTTTAGTGCATTTATAACTTTTTATAAATGGATCTGCATTGGTATTTGTAAAATTAACAGCTTTATAGCTGTAGAATTGAAATCTTATATCAAGTTTCAGTTGGCCTCCATAAATTTTGTTGTTGTCTAGGACAAAAGCAGGATTGTTGATTGGTTAATAGGATCGCTTATTCATTGATCAGGCAGATTTGTATTGCACACATAGTAAGCTTAAGGCATTTTTCTAGATACCATGTAGGATTCAGTCTAGAAGGGGACATAAAACATGTCCCATTATCAGTCATAATAATCTATAATAAAAAATAGAAACTCCATATAAAGTGCTATGGAAATTCAGGGGGAGATAAGTTATTTTAAGCTAGGAGTTTCATGAAAGATGTGAATAGAATATGCGGGTTTAACTTAGAATTTTGACATGAAAGGATTTTAGGTGGGAATAGCAGCTTAAGCCAAGGAATGGAGGTTTCAGAAAGGTAAATATGTAGGTTTGGACTGGACAATAGCATAGCTGGAGGGTCAGGGCCAGTTTAGAAAGGATCTTGAATGCAGTTTAGGGAATTTAATTTTAATTTCTTAAAAAATAAGAGGCCATTAGTCTTGGCACCTTAATATTGACCTTGGTGATGTTTTCTAGAGTGGGGGAGACTAGAGACCTGGGAAGACTAGATACAAGATACTGCCATCATTCAGGGAATTGATAATAAGAGTTTGAAATATTGTGGTGACTAGGGAAATTGATTCATGTTAGAGCTGTGTTGAGAACTGTCAGCTTGAACAGCAGGGGAAAGGGAAGGGAAGACAGTGACATTCTGGGTTCTGTGCCTGTGTGTTTAGGAGAGTTGCACAGGAGAATGGAGGAAGTGAGATAGACTCTGAGAGGTGAGGAATTTGGATTTGTATTTATTTAACTTGAGCTGGGGGACAACCAAGTTATGATTTTCAGCAAATGTGATACTGAGACATGAGATTTCAAATCTTAATGTCTCATTTGGGAGAGATGTTATTTGAAACCATGGGATTGCCTAAAAAAAAGTAGTGTTTAAAAAGAATGCTGGAGAAGACCTTAATTTAGGAAGTAAGAGAAAAAAACATGCCAGTGAAGGAGACAGAAAGATTTATTTGGGAAAGAGGAGACTTCACTGCCTTGGAGAGGGCAGAATTTTAAGAATGGGATTATCTAAAGCAGTGGTTCTCAAACTTCCTAATGCCACGGCTCTTTAATACAGTTCCTGTGGGTCGCGACCCACAGGTCGAAAACCACTGACTAAACTTGTCCTTCAGAGAAGTTCCTGAAACAAAAGGCTTCCTATTGACTATGAAAGGCCACCCCTTCAAGACACATGTTTTGCCCAACCCAGACCAAGTTTATACTTGTCTTGTCTTGGTTTTTTTGGAGAGCCATTTCTCCAAATCGATATAGAGCGCCTTTAAATTGAATTAGCGGGAATTAAGATGACAAGGAGTAGTGAGACTCTGAGGGGAGCGACACTGGGCATAGAATATTGATTATATTCGGCCTTCCAGAGCCCACCCTTCTACCCGAGGATGAAAAGCTACTAGTCCTCATAGCTTCCGTGATATCACTACTTTAGGAGCACAAAGTGAACCGAAGTCATATAAAATTGCAGTTTATCGGTGTCGCTGTCACAACAGTCAATATAGAGTATACATTTTAAGCAGGTACAGAGTCTTTTTTCTTTCAACTGGTCCTTCACTCTAACATGACCATATACTTTTTTTAACCTCCAATTTGGGCTGTGTTAGCTTTATTTTGAAACACTAACATCCCCTCAGATGAACTTACTTCAGTGCATATTGCCTTTCCGTACAGTAAAGGAGTCCGGAGGTACTAATGAAAGGTATTGTGATTAATTTTTTTCCTGTTTGAGTAATTTAAAAACTTATGTCCTTTATCAGTTTATAATTGAGAGAAAATTATTGGGAAGTCAACAGTTACATTTAGGATTGTTTTCTTTTTTCTTTTTATGATTTGTGAACATTGTGAAATAATATACAGCTGACTGGATTGCTACCTAAGTAGAGTGACTCTGACCCCATATATCTTTATTGTATTCTTTTGCATTTAGGTACTAAAGACCAGACTAGCTGTAGGTAAAACTGGAGAGTATTCAGGGATTACTGATTGTGGCAAGAAGCTTCTGAGACGGGAAGGTGTCAGAACCTTTTTCAAAGGTTATATTCCTAACTTATTAGGTATTATACCTTATGCAGGCTTAGATTTTGCTGTTTATGAGGTGAGTTTATTCTTTCATATGATGTTATGTGTTAGGTTTTTTTCTTTATCATGTAGGATTCATTGAGGGTACAAAGAATGAGGTTATCCTGATTATATTTGTTACTATGTGTTAGGTTTGAAAAGAACACAACAGTTTTTTTACCTCAAAAGTATGGTTGTAAATGACTTTCCACAAAATAGCTTCTGCCTAGGAAGTAAATTAAATTGTTTTACTTAGCTTTTCATTTTGTCTGTTAGATATCTGGTATTCTAATAATAATTTTTAATTTTTTGGTATGAATTGGTTTTTTTAAAGTAATAATTATAGATCTAAATTCTGATACAATAGTAGATGCCTATCAGAATCACGTAGATGTGGCTCTTGAAAACAAATGGCATTCTTGAGCCCTATCTCAAGATATTCTGATTTAATTATCCCAAAGGGAGGCCTGGGAGGTAGGTTTTTTAACTGCCCAGAAGAATCTGATATATGTAAATGTAAGACTGAGAAAACTTGAACAGTTACAAAAATTAGAATGAAAGATAGGAGTAACTGGGGCTTGGGGAAGAGAGCATCGTGGAGATGAGACACAAACCCTGGCAGTGCAGTGCAGCTCAGGTAGGATTCTAGCTTCTCCCCGCCCCCCCTTTCAGTTATTCATTTAATTTTATGACCTTTTATCTATTTCATGAACAGTATATCCAATTGGATCATAAGAACCGGAGTGTGGGATTAATATAGTATATCCATGTTTTTCTTTTCCTTTTTTGATTTCTTCCATCTATGATCTTACTAAAGTAAATTTGTGGCTGCTATTTATGCTGGGCTATCACCATTCTTTGATTTTTATAGGTCAGCATCTTTTGTTTGCATACCAGAGTGCCATTATACATTCTCTTTATAGTTACATGACCGTAACAAGTTCACACTCACTAAAGATATTTTGAAATTTAGTTTTCAAAAGCCTCATGTTACACATTTTGTAGTAATCACCCCGATATGAAATGGTAAAGTTGCTATCCTTTAATAAATGAACTGTTCTAAAGGTACCTGGTAATTTTTTAAACTCATTTCTAAATAACTTCTTCCAGCCATTTTATCAAGGAAAAGCCAATATGGAAAGATGAATCTTAAAAGCTGAGAAAGTGTTGTTCACCTAGAGTGGGTTGTCTGGTATTTCTTATTCTGTTAATTCCCACGATAATTTACAAATTTTTGCTCAGGTCTTTGAATATCATTACAAACCAGTAAACAAGCAAGGCAACACAAAACAAACAAAACACACAGACACAAGCATAGGAGAACTCAAACTGAGGTTTTAGGAATATGATTATTTGAAAACATCTGTGTGCTTTATCCTGGGTTACAGCTGCTCTATACTAAAGCTTTAGTCTACTTAGAGTTACATAGTTGTTAAAGAATGTTTACTGCTCTCTTCTCTGCCAGGTTTTAAAGAATTATTGGATAGAACATTATTCAAGAAACTCTGTAAATCCTGGGATAGTGATTTTGCTGGGGTGTAGTACATTGTCTCACACCTGTGGTCAGTTAGCCAGCTTCCCTATGTACCTGCTTAGAACGCGCATGCAGGCTGAAAGTGAGTTCTGCTTTCTTTTTTTTCTTAGTGAATTAAAAATAACTAAGTTTTAAAGGTATGTTTTAAGTGAGTATAAATTAATGATTTCAAAATCAGGAAAAATGTGGAACTGATAAATCAAAAGCTAAGTTTCTGATTTTTGTTGTTGTTGTTGTTTTATTTTGTCTTTTTCTAAGTTTCTGATTTTTACAGCAAGAATCTTTAATTCATCATGTTGTTGAATAGAGCTTTTTGGGAATTTTAGATTTTATTTCTTCCCAAAGTTGTGTGTGTGAAATTCTCTACATTTTTCTTCAGTTACTGATGATCTCTTTAACGGGTTTACAATGAGGAAGTACTATACAGAAAAATAGAAAAGACTTTGCTTTCTACAAATTGAATCAGCATTTACGCCATATGAACATGGAATGTCCCCCTAGTTCTGCTGTCATTGTCGTGTTCTGCAACAAGAACTTGATGCTGTGGAATCGAACTCAGTTGTTTGTATTCCAGTCCACTTAGGGAGGAGACATTAAGCAGAAGGGAGGGTATCTGTTTAGTTCCTCTCAGAGTGAAGTGGTAGGAATCTAGATTTTAAGAAATTACTTTTATCACTTTGCAAGAAAAACCTCCCCACCTCCCCATCCTATTGTTATCTTCTTTAGGAAACTAGTTACAGGTCATATGGTCAGTGATACTCTTTTACATTCTCTTTCTCCCTCTCTTTTTAGTTAAATTTTTAATTTATATTGTAATCCAGATGGAGAATCTTCTCTATCCATCTTATCATGCATCCATTCTTCTCTCAAACTATCTGTCAAACTCAATTCCAAACGCTGCTTTGAGGTCCCTCATGAACGAATGTCAAGCCCTGTTCTGTGATGATGGAACTATTTTACATCTGTGTTGCCCAGTACAATAGCCACTCTTCACAAGTGACCATGAGGTACTTGAAATATTGCTAGTGCAACTGAGGAACTGAAGTTTTAGTTTTATTTAATTTTAATTAATTTAAATTTAAAGAGCTACAGGTGTCTAGAGGCTACCAGGTAGAACAACACAGGACTATTCTGTAAGGAGGGAGAGGGGGTTATTCTGAAGTAATTTCAGTCTCTGTAAATTCTCATTTATAATTGGATTATTTTAATGTATAAAGATTAAATATTGAATTATACTTTTTTTTTTCAATTTATAGCCACAGAAAAAGGAGAACCAGTTTCTATGATTAAGCTCATACAAGAAATACATAGCACAGAAGGAAAACGGGGATTTTTCAGGGGTATCACTCCAAACATCATAAAGTTGCTTCCTGCGGTAGGCATCGGCTGTGTGGCTTTCGAAAAAGTGATGCCACTTTTCGATTTAATCTAGAAGTGAAATATCATATTGTTGTCATTGCCATAATCACTTAATTGAAGATAACACCTATGTTATAAAGAAATTGTATCTTTTCCTAAAAGGAAAGAAGTATCAAATAATTGTTCAAATATTTTTTCTTCATCTATTACAAAATATATAAATTAAATAATAATTTTGGTAACATTCTTTAATAATTTAAAATTTATAATATCCACAGAATTCTGTGTACATTTCCTGGTACTCTGCCTTGAATTCTTACTTGAAATTTGTTTCTGGTTGAATTTGAATATACTATGGAGTAACATTATAAAACATTTGGTCAGTTAATGTTTTTGTATTTAAGAACTTTTTTTAAAAAGCTGGGCTTAAAAATGTTTTATACACAAAAAGAAAAATCAATGCACTGAAAATTGATGTTATACTACCTGATTGGAGTCTCTGTTTCACTTCTTTAAGCACCAAGGGAAGTTGGCTTCATAACTGCTTCTATTACATTGTGAATGGAATAATAACATATTTATTATATCTCTGGGCACTTTTATTTGTAAATATAAACACTGTTGGTTCATTTTAGTTCTTGATATTTTCAGCTTCTATCAGAAAGTTGGCATGGTGAACAAATCAACATTGGACAAATTCTTTTCTATCTTTTGGTTGAAACTTTTGAGAGAAAGAATTTTAAAAATTAAATCCATTATTTTATACTTGTTGAAGTTAATTCTTATTTCAACTTAAGAGATTGTTGAGTCAACCCTTGGGTATCCTAAATATCTACTCCTCAATTTTATGAAAAAATAAATGATATTCTTATTGGAATTAAGTGTGGTGAGACAGTGGTAAGGGGATGCTTGGCCACAAATAGCCCTCTAATGAAGGACTGCCTAGCTAAACTAAATAAAGTCTAGGGTTTGATCCTTACCCCTGCCAATTCAAAAAATTTACTATATCCATTTCCTCAAAATTATTAGCTTCTTGGTACTAGGTTGACAAAAATAACTAACAAGACTGATCTATTGATCACAATGCAAAATCACTAATTTATAGTGGAGCTTAATACTTTCCATTAATCAGAATACTTCCATCCTTCTCCAGGGCACACTGTTTCCTAGTAGCAAGGTATCTGGGAAACTAAATAGGTAGCTAGAATATTGACATGGAATTAGAACAAAGAGAAGAAATTTTTGAGGAATATTCTATTCAGGCCCATCCCAATTATGGTGGTAAGAACTGAGAATCTTGTATACAAGGGAGAAGAGCTGAAACCTAAAGTAGGAGAATGGAGGGAATTGGGAAATTGAGCTAAACTAAGACACAGATCACCAGGAGGGGAGAGGCAAATCTTATATGAACTCTGAGAATGGGTAAGAAACTTGAGCAATGTTGGTCATTGTACATGAAGACTTTTACAAAGCCTTCCAAGTTGATGAAACAGCTGGAGTAGTAACATGAAAATGGGGACGTTCATAATCTTTAAGTGTATATACATTACAATGAAGTTTTATTAAAAGAGTTGTAACAAATGTAAGGTGGGGGAAATACACAAATGAAATATAAATTGGGTTGAAGATTGAGCCATAGGAGCACCAAGATAAAGCTCATGTGGGGTTAAAAGAAGGGGTCAGAATAATTGAGGAAGGCTTCACAGTGGGAGGAAGACCCTGGAAGACATGTACTGTTTGGGTGGGTGACAAAGGTATTCTAGTTGTAGGCAGCAGCACAAACAAAGGCCCAGAGGCAGGAATGAGCACAGCACGTGGAAAGCCAAGTTAAGGTGCAGCCATAGCTGGAGCAGAGCATGACCCCTGGAGAGGAACAGGAGATAAGGCTTGAGAGGGGCCCTGGGGACTGACCAGAGGTGACCCAAGAACCTCGACAGGCTTCCTTTCCGCAGGGTGCAACTTCTGACGCTGAACAAAACTTCCATACCACTTGAAGGCTTTCCCACACACCTTACATTCATCCGGCTACCACCCAGTGTGAACTCTCTGGTGCTATATGGAGGCTATTTTCTGAGTGAAGGCTTTGCCACACTCCTTACATTGGTAAGGTTTCTTTCCAGTATGTTGTCTCTGATGGACAATAAAAAGTGACCTACAACTAACATTCCTTACATTTATAGTTTCTCCCCTGTGTGCAATCTCTGATGCTGAAGGTATGCCGCACTCCTATGAAAGCTTTTCCACACTCCTTACATTCAGAGAGCTTCTGTCCGTGTGGATCATCTGATGGTGAATCAAGGCCGTGTTGGAACTCAAAGCTTTGTCACACTCCTTACATTCATAGGGCCCTTCTCCGAAGTGGTTTTTCTCACGTCCAGTAGAGTAATAGCTGGACTTAAAAGCTTTGCCACATTCTGTACGTTTAAAGAGCTTTTCTTTAGTATGACTCATCTGATGCCAAATAAGCTTTGAGTTGTATCTGAAGATTTTCCCACTTCCCTTACATTCATTCATAGAACTTCATTTGACCTATAAGTATCAGATTTGGATTTAGATTAAAAGTCTGCATCACTTTTAAAATCAAAGTGCTGAGAACTGTTTCTTCAGAGTCCTCTTACTGGTGCTCTGTGAAACTCTTTCTTCAGAAGGCTCCTGCATTACAATTGGGTCTTCATTCATGACCTGGGATTCACCACCGCCTCTCAGAACCTCTGTGTCCCAGGGATCTAGGCCCCATAGTACTTCCCCTTTCTCCAGCTAGGAGATTAGAAGGAGTTTGAGAAATGGAAATGCTACCAAGGAAGCTACATTTGCATAATTCTCCAGCATCACAGGGCCCTCTGGGTAGAGTCCAGACTAGCCCACTGATTGTGGGTGAGGTATACAGCCACATCCCTGAAGGTCACTGACTCCTGAGGCTAAGTTGTTTGGCACATGGCTGATATCTCCTGGCTTCATGCACTGTCTTCTGGGTTTGGAAAAGCAAGGTCTGGTCACAGAAGGCTGTCAGGACAAGTTCTTTAGGGCAGAAAAGATGATCTTGCAGCTATGATAAGGATATGGACCTGAGCTCTAGACGGCTATGCAGCCATTCTTGGTGGTTTGACGAGTCCCAGATACTCAAGCTCTGAGGTAGGGAGGAGTGGGTTGCCATTAGGACCAAGTTTTGGGGAAAGGGTTTGATGAGCTGCCAGCCTCTGGCAGTGAGGAGCCCAGCACTGGGCAGACCTGGAATGCAGAACTCACTGATAACCAGTTTTCTCCTTTCTTAAAATGTGTGCATTTTTTGACACCCTCTATATGTGTGTGTATATGCATGCCACAGAAAAAGAAGGAAATCATTTACTGCAGCTGGGGTGAGACTGGTGGCTAAATACTAAGTGAAGTATTTCAGGAATAGAAAAACAAATACCACATGTTCTAACTTACTCACGGGAGCTAAGCTATGGGTACGCTTGGTCATACAGAGTGATGTAATGGCCACTGGAGATGCAGAGTGGGGAGAGGGTGAAAGCTAAAACATTGCCTGTTGGGTGCAATGTACACTATTTGGGTGATGGATGTACTGAAAGCCCAGACTTCACCACTATACAGTTCATTCATGTAACAAAAAATTGTTTGTTCCCCCTAAATCCATTGAAATAAAATTTTAAAATTAAAAAATAAAGATTAAAGAAGACCTAGATAAATAGGAAGATGTTCCATATTCATGGATCAGAAGATCTTTTCTACAGATACAGTGTAATCCCCATCAAAATCTCACCTGACTTCTTTGTAAAAATTGACAAGCTGATGCAAAAATTTATATGGAAATTCATTTATCAAGACAATGTGATACATAAGGATGGATGTATAGATCAATGGAATAGGATGTAGAGGTGAGAAACCCTCACATTTATAGTCAGCTGATTTTTGAAAAGAGCACCAAGATGATACAATGGGGAAGGAATAGTCTTTGCAGCAGTGGTGCTGGGACAATTGGATATCCACAGGAAAAAGATTGAAATTGGACCCTACCTCACACCATACACAAAAATCAACTCAAAATGAGTCAAAGACCTAAATGTAAAAGCTAGTACTGTAAAACTCTCAGAAGAAAACATAGCTAGAAATCTTTCTGATCTTGGATCAGGCAATGATTTCTTAGAGATGACATCAAAATCACACACAGCAAAAGAAAAAACTGGATATCATCAACTTCAAAAGCTTTTATGTTTCTTAAAGACACCATCAAGAAAATGAAAAGACACCTAACAATGGGAGAAAAATGTAGCAGTTCATATATCTGATAATGGATTCACATTTTGAATATATAAAGAGTGATTACAACTTAATAATAGAAAGTCAGGTAACCCATTTTAAAAATAGGCAAAAGCTCTGCATGGATATTTCTCCAGAGAAGATATGCCAATGGCCAATAAACATAGCGGAAGATGTTTATCATCATTGTTTACTGGGGATATGCAAATTAAAACCGTAATGGGATATAGCTTCACACCCACTGGGAAGCTCATAAGAGTATGCAAATAGTAGCAAGTGTTGGCAAGAAATTGGAGAATGTGCAGAAATTTGAACTCTCATACAATGCCAGTTGGAATGTAAGATGGTGCAATCAGTTCGGAAAAGTCTGGCAAATGGTTAAAATGAAATTACTGTATGACCCAGCAGTTTCTTTCCTAGGTATATATTCAAGAGAACCAAAAATGTATTTTCACACAAAAACTTGTACACACATACATAGCAACATTATTCAGAATAGCCCCAAAGTTGAAATAATCCAAGTGTCTGTGAACTTATGAATGGATAAAGAAAATGTGGCGTATCTGTACAATGGAATATTATTCAGCAATAAAAAAAAGTACTGATACCCGCTGCAACATAGATGAGCCTTAAAAATATTATGCTAATGTAAAGAGGCCAACCACAAAGGACAAGCTATTGTATAATTCTCTATTTATGTGATGTGTCCATGATAGGTAAATCTATAGAGATGGAAAGTAGATTAGTGGTTGTTTAGGGCTTCAGAGATGGGGAGGTTGGGAGAGGAGATAGCTAGTAGGTATGTGGCTTTTT